GACATCAATATTTCCAACTGATTTATATGAATTTAAGTAAGCAACCATATGTAATCGGTAAAATGAATACATTATTAAGATTTTCTCGGTACAAGTAACTTTAATAACAATAAAAGAGCTTGTAATTACTATAAACTTAACACTCTCACGTTCTGTCATGAAGAAAAATTCGATGAGATTTTGAAGCTTTTGAAGAAAATCTCTATCCTCGTTTTCTCATCCGATGATAGTGACTGAAGTATCTCTGTAAACATCGCGGGAGGTCTTTTATTGAAAATGGCATTTGCCAGCCCTGATTGTAAACACCAGGCATGGAAAATCATTTGCATTCATTTCGTGCATTAATTTACATTCATTTACCCCTAACTTTTTTCATCAACAGAATTCTGCAAAATGATGTTCGGGACTTTTATAGGTTTTGTTATTAGCTACAAATTTTGTTAACATTTCAAATCCATATCACTTACGCATGACGAACCAGAGCGAACAGAAACCACTACTGTTTTTCAGTGAATGTATTCTACATTCACTGGAAAACAGTAACAAGTTCTGCCCGCTCTAATTCGTTATGCATAAGAGATACAGATTTGAGTTATGAACAAAAGTTGTAGCTAATAACAAAACCTACTAAATCCTCACACATCGTTTTGCGGAATGCTGTTGATGAAAAAAGTTAGAGGCAAATGAATGTAAATGAATGCATGAAATGAATGTAAATGATTTTCCATGCCTGGTAAACACTACCGCCATCTGTTGTTTACACTCAACAGATGACTGTAGCGTGTAAACGTAAAGGCCGGCGCACAATGCATACGTTTTCGGGTTTTTTGACAGATAATGATGGGCTAACTGTCAAAAAACCTCAAAACGTATCTATTGTGCGCCGGCCTTAAAACGCAAGGGAATTGATTATGCACGCCACAGGTGGCGGTAGTGCCAACTAAGCAAAATTAAAATTGACCGTTAAAAGCGATTTCGATGACCATCTTAAGCATGTTATGTCTGCTTGTCTGTGATCATACCTTCACCCCTTCTCTATCGCAACTCCGGGTAGTCCTCGAAAGAGCTTGCATTTTTCTCAGGCACTTTTGATCTAACTGCAATCACTCTCTAATACTCGAAATGTGCCACGACCAAATTGGCACAACGACGCCCTATACACACTAATCAAGCATTTAGTTGTTCGGTATTTTTTTGTACTGGGCTTGCACGGTAAAACGAAAGAGTTGCCGATAATAGAACAGCTGGTTAACACCGAGGTTAACACGCAGTTCAAATGGAAAGGTTGCCGAAGAAAAAGTGGCTGCCGACAATAGTCAGATTCACCTGAGAAGGTTGAAGCGTCATAAAAACGTTTTGGGCAATTGGGTTGTTTAACTTCGAAAAATATACCAATTTTCATACATAATCTGATAGAGCCTCGTTTTCTGAGCACAACGATGTTTTTAACGATCCCGTGGACCGGATCAAGATTTAAATTTTTGATCGTTGACACTAAATCCACCCTAAATCTATTCGTTGACAGCTCGCTCCAATGTAAAGTCCCACCATGGGGCGCTAAGATGGTGATTTTTCCTCTCTTAGATTTTTCCTAATGTAATCGTACTTATTTAAAATAGTTCCAGGGTTCCATTTTTAATGCAGATAACAAATATGTATTTACCTCAATACCCCTAAACAACCCAATTCTGTCAACTATAATGGATAAAATAGCAAGCAGAAATGTAAACAAACAAACACGTCATAATTATAGTCTGGCGTAGAGTCGGTGTATAATGAGTCACGCCAAGAGTGAAGCCAAGTCTACCTATTGAACTGTCAAATCGGCTACCTATCGTGCAAAGTAAATAAACATTACGATGCTATGAAAGGTCTACGAAAGGTATTGCAATGAAATATAAAATAAAATTGAAGAAATCATCGTAAACACGCAGCGAGCATTAAATGGTCATGGGATACGTTTGGTTTTGATCAGTAATGAGAATTTCTACTATTTTTTGATAAGATAATTTGACAAAATCACTGATATTATGATTCACTACAGCCGTTATTTTTGGTTCTCGCTAGAAGTCATTTAAAGTTGATGTAGAAGTCCTCTGTTGCCAAGTGAAAAGAAAGGGAATCCTTCGGAAACCGTGATGCGAGTTCAACTGCTTTTCTCTTGGCGTGACTCATTATACACCGACTCTAGTCTGGCGGATACAATTTCGATCCATCAAAAAGTGGAACCAATTCAATAGAGCTTTTTGAAGTTTAATCGGCGCACACTACTGTACCATTTAAAGCGAACGAGTGCAAGCAAGAGGGAAACAGTTTAGTGGGAAAACAAACCCTCCATTCATCCATGTGTGCTAGATAGAGAAAAATGATTAAACGTCAAAAAAGTCTATATTATTATATATCCTATATATTGTAGACCAACAATTGAAAAGGTACTATCAACATTTATAAACACAACGTTGATTATTATTTTCTCGTCAATCATTTACATTTTCATTTTATGATGTACAAAGGGGTCAGGGGCCATGTCACCGATTTGAATATTCACACCATCCATAATACACCAGGGAAGGGGAGAGGAGTGAGCAACACAGCATCTTTACCCATGGGGGTTAAAAAAGTTCTGCGAGATACACTTGTGGTGAACCAGCGGCTCAGGGATTGTAGAAAGGAAAAGGGTTGGGTAGGTTTAAAATGCAGAAATAGATGCCGTCACGATTGAATGCGCATGTTTAAATAACGTTGATCCAGGTACCTATCATATAAATTTGCATATAATCTAGTTATGATTATTGTCAATAGTACTTACATTTCGATAAAGATGATGCTACCTACTTTACCTGTTATGTGATACTTATCATCACAGAGTCCAACCTTGAATCGCAGACCAGGTCCACTAACAAAACACTCGTTCCGAGAAGGGGCTTATGATCTTCTTCTTCTTCTTCAGGTTCGCTCACCACCCGGAATGAAGGCTCGGTGCGGTTAGTAATATCAAACAGTGTTACATGCAAACGAAAAAGAGATACAACCAGGATTAGTTTTTTAAAGTAATAGTTTCATCTGAATACCCAACTAACCACCCTAATAAAAAATAACCATAAACGAACAATAACCCAAATCATTGAACTATTCCACAAATGGTTTGGATGATACCCAGAACACGTCGTTAAGCAAATTAACCATACAATTTTTATTAGGGCATATCTCAGTGACATTGTCCCACTCTGAACCCACACCAAAAGCTATTTTGTGATTATATGGTTACTTTGGTACTCACATGAAATGTTGTGCAAGTACCACAAGTTCAACAACGCGCAACTATGGACAGCTCAATGTTAATACCATTTACTCTTTGAATCAGCTTACACCAACATGATAATTTACTAAGAAAAATCTAAGAATGTATAGAGATAAAGTTCAAAAATACAGTTTTAACTGATGGTACTTTATAAACAAGAAACTGTCCAATATTGGACCCTGCCAACACACGGCGCCTGCACGGCAATGTGGGCCGTCAGAATGGTTCATCGGTTGCGAAGTGAAGTGCTTCTCAAACTGAAGCGATACATTTCTCAATTTTTCAACGTTATCCTAACGTAAACTTAATATTATCACCCATATGCCCGTCCAAGCCCGAAACCCATCCACCACACAAAATCAAATAAAAATGTTTCTGTATGGCAAACACGTCCAGACATAAACGAGAATATGGGTGAATATCTTCACTGTAACAACTACGGGTAATCATCGAAAATACTTGCATTTTCCTCAGGCACTTTTGAGCAAACTGCAATCACTCTCATACTCGAAATGTGCCACGACCAAATTGGCACAACGACGCCCTATACGCTCTCTGACCAAAGCGCAGGGTGATTATTATTTTCTCGTCAATCGACCGCAAATTACCAGCATCATCGAATAGGGCAAATTTTCCCCAACCCAAAGATGGTGTTAGTTTGCGTACGCAAGCCTTGAGTCACGAGAAAAGGGTTTCCGATGTTTTGTTCGCAATAGCCGATGTGCCCTTTTCTGTTGTTGGTCGTGATTTGCTCGATTGGTTCCGCTATTTGACAGCTCAATTGGTTCCCTAGACTCTATATCCGTCAGACTAGGAATACAGCGACTATATAGTCATAATATGTGTGCGTGACGCCGATAAATTGCTAATAGAACGAATGCTGCTTAGATTGACGAGAATACGTAAATTCCCCCAGTAAATCTTGATATTCACCCATATTCTCGTTTTCGTTCGAACCGTATTTTCCATACAAAAAAAAAGTTTTTTTGTATGGAAAATACGGTTTGAACGAAAACAAGAATATGGGTTGATTTGATATTCTCGTCTACTTGGGGAAGCAAACGAAGTCAAACTTTGGAAGGCTAAACTGGACCCAATCATGCTTGGCATACACGATTTTGGTCACGAACTGCTCATTTGCTAATAACTTTGCACACAGTTGACGTAACGTAGTTCTTTTTGAATCAGTAGATAGAATAGAGTTTAAGCTTGTTATGTATATACGTAAAAAAGTAGATATTTATTCTAATTATAAACTGTATTTGTTTTTGCGTTGTAAAAATGAAGTGAGAAATGCTCGCTGCACATCTCGGACTTTAAGTGTAAAAAATCATTGGTGTTGATTCAAATTTTAAGATTTACCTGCTCTTTGCATATCTATAGTAAACTATGATCCTAATCTATCAATTACTTAAAAAAAAAACAAATTTCAACAACTAAGTGAAAAGTTATTAACAAATGAGCAGTTGGTGTGTACAACTGTGTATGCCAAGCATGGACCCAATTGAAAACGGTTTAACACTGTCCAGCAACAATTTAAAAATTTGCATCTAATATGCACACCGTAGATGACGTTGCATTCTCTTATAAACATGTACTGAAACAAACAAAATCAGCAACAATTTGTATTTTATTTTCGTCGTTCCAATTGGGTTCTATATACTTTGTGTTTGATTCAGATAAACCTACAACAATAATCATTCCCCTACGTTTTTGTCGCTTCCGTTGGCTTTTTACTGCTCGAATCTGCTTCCTCTACGGGCACTTTTTCCTTGTTCCAGCTTGCCAATCCCTGCGGTAGTGTGGTATCTTCCTCGAATGACCCCGTTCCTTCTACAAAATCTTCGTACGTGGATTTCTCCGGGAAAGGTCTCTTTCCGAGCAGTTCAATCATGTCATCCCTGCTTAGGATTTCGTTCTTCAACAGCCGTTCGGCAACTTTTTCCACATTGGATTTATGTTGGATGAGCAGATCCGTTGTTCGTTTGTATGCTGTATCGATCAACACTCTTACCTCTTCATCTATCAACTGAGCCGTTTGTTCTGAATAGGGCTTAGCGAACATAGGATCGCCGGATTGAGAGCTATCAAAGCTGACCTGACCAACCTTCTTGTTCATACCGAAGCGAGTTATCTGGAATTAAAGATCGAAATGCATATATTGAATTAATAAATACTCGTGGTACATGCTAGATGATACATTACCTGGGCGTAAGCGCTGTCGGTGATTTTCTTCAGGTCATCCTGAGCTCCAGTTGTAATTCTTCCGAAGAAAATTTCCTCCGATACGCGGCCACCAAGTGTCATACACATGCGATCGAACAGCTGATCGGTGGTCAACAGATACTGATCCTTGGGTAAGTACTGCGCATAACCAAGACCCTTTCCTCGTGGAATAATTGAAACTTTTAGTAGAGGATCTGAATGCTCTAAGAACCAACCGGACACGGCGTGACCAGCTTCATGATAAGCAACAGTGCGCTTTTCATCCGGCGACAGGACATTAGTTTTCTTTTCCATACCAGCGATTACACGCTCTATTGCTTGTTCAAAGTGCTTCAAGATGATCGATTCGTTCAGATCACGGGCGGCGATCAGAGCAGCTTCATTACAAACGTTAGCAATATCGGCACCCGTAAAGCCGGGGGTCAGAGCTGCCATTTTCCTCGCTAGAACTGCTTTGTCCACATCAGTCTTCAATGGACCCAAATGCACTTTGAAAATACTGGCACGACCCTTGATGTCTGGAGCGGGGACAAAAATCTGTCTATCGAAACGACCTGGACGCAGAAGTGCCTTATCTAGGATGTCGACTCGGTTGGTAGCGGCTAAAACTACAACGTTAGTAGTCGTGTTGAACCCATCCATTTCGACAAGCAGTTGGTTCAAAGTATTTTCTTGTTCTGAGTGACCACCGAAACTCTTTCCGCCACGCTTTCGACCAACTGCATCGATTTCGTCGATGAACAGAATACAAGGAGCATGCTTTCGAGCCATTGCAAACATATCACGCACACGAGATGGACCAACACCGACGAACATTTCCAAGAATTCCGAACCCGATACGGTTATGAAGGGCACATTTGCTTCACCAGCCGTTGCCTTGGCTAGTAGGGTCTTACCAGTGCCGGGGGGACCGGTCAACATGGCGCCCTTGGGAATCTTAGCACCCAAGTTGATGTATTGTTGAGGATTCTTCAAGAAGTTGACGAATTCCATGATTTCAATTTTGGCTTCCTCGCAACCAGCGACGTCCCTGCAAAAGAAATATCAAGCTCAATAGAGACGCAATAAATACCTTTAGTGATTCTATAAGACTACCCCGAATGATCCTATAATCATTGAAATACTCTACATTTGTCAAAGCACGCAGTGTATCCTTTAATGCAGATACCTAATGGTTTATTTTATCATCATTTTTTCAGAAGGAAACAAATAATTTATTGGGTATTTACCCTTCTTAGAAACCTAGGAAGAAAGTTCTCTTACTTCGCAAAATAATGACAATGACATATTTTCAAGGTAGTGATGCTGGTGATAATATTATGGCAACGCAAATAGTTGAAACTCACTTGAATCCAACGGTGATTTCATTTGCATTGATCAATTTGGCAGTAGATTGCATAACACCACCAAAAAGGCCACCTCCTTTGCGACCCCCTCTACCACCCATCATTTCCGATGAGCGTCGCATCATGTAGATTAGGAAACCAATGATCAACAACGTTGGCAAGAGTCCGGTAAGACTGGCAGCTTCGATTTCGCTACGGTAAATGACTGGGACAAAGTTCACCGGTTCTATATTCATATCGGTCTGTGCATTCTCCAGATTTCGTTCAAAAGAATCCACGCTGCCAATGTTGAACCAAAGCGTACCCTAAAACAATAATACATCATGACATTGAATCGACAAAAAAAATTGCATTCCAACGATAAATACCGCTGAATCGGAGCTGTTTCCTGCCGTTAATCGAACTCGAACCCATTTCTTGTTGACCACTTCCAGTTTATCCACGATTCCACGAGCTAAATAACTGTACGACAAATGTTAATTAAACAATATAGAATCTATCGCAAATCACTCATACTTATTGACAAATTCCTTCCAGGCAATCTCTTTGTAGCCCATCTCGAAGTAAGCGATTGCGGAAATAAGGGCAACGCCGGCTAGTGCTCCAAAGACCAGCATTTTCTCCTTTTCTCCACCCTCACCTCCGATAGGACGACCGCTTCCGCCACTGCTGCTCGATCCGCTTCCTTTGCCCCTGGATGGCTGAGGTCCAAACATTCCCAGGTTCCAATCATTTTTCGGTGGCTGCTGCTGGCCTGATGTATCCTTTGGTGTTGAAGATGCCGGCTTGGCCTCCTTGACAGCTTTAGCTTCTTGTTCTTCTCCGGCGGCTCCTTTATTGGCACTGCCTGGTTTGTAGTACTTTTCGAATCCCTTCGGTGGTTTTTCGCAAAAAAGCTGAATCCGATGCAGGAATTCGTTCCATACTTTATTTTTACTTGATTGCAGGTAGCTTAAGCTACGAATTAACTACAAAAGGGTAGAGTAAATAACAAAGCTGTATTCACTGAATTATTTCAGCTGCAGAAATGATGGAGTAGTTCGTAATGTTGTGAAATACGCCACACACAAATATGTATTCAAACATGAATAGAAGATCTGTTGAAACAGTTTTAAGTTTATAATATAGCTATTTGTAACTTTTCATATTTTTCCTTACATGATTAAACTTAATCATGGTTCAAATCAACATAATACAAAATAGTGAAGCAGTAAATATGTTCTAACCTGGTCGCAGTCGGTCGAGTTGACGGTGCGATGTTGTCGACTGAAGCCAGCTAGAGTAGATTCTAGCTTTCGGGCCGTTGTTAGCAAGCGGTATGCCATTTCTGCACTATTTTCAACACTCTTCCAACTAGCAGATCCGGTTCATTCGTTTATACTTTCGTAATAAAATGCACAAGAACCATGTTCCGGATTTATTACACAATCTTTTCGGCTGCTTTTCGTCGCTTCAATGAATGGAATACTTTTTTGCTGGCGTGATGATTTTTTTCCACCGTGTGAAATGTCACAATGTTGTCAAAAACAGTGTGCGGTGTTGCCCGATCCGGCAAAGGCAGTGATGGCAGCCTGAGAATTAATTTAATGTTATATTATAATAATTATTATAATATTAAATTAATAATTATTCTCCAGACTGCGAGTAATAGACCTTTTTGACGTTTCATCGTCTTTCTCTATCTAGCACACATGGATGAACGGACGGTTTGTTTTCCCACTAATCTGTTTCAGAGCTGCCAGGTGGTTTTATAAAAAATCTGTATCCACTCTATTAAAAAATCTGTATTTTCTGTATTGACGATTTTTTTCTTAATTAATCATGTTTTGTTGTTTTACAAATACAGTGCATACAAAATAACCATAAAAAGTGCTTAACCACCTATTCGGGCTATCGTACTTACCATACGGGATATAATTGCGCCATTTGTGATATCGTCCGTACTTATTTATAAGAGTGATATGAAGCCGTTTGAAAATGTATGGAGATTTTAGTTTCTATTCATTATCTTCCTGATAAGCAGTTTTAAATGCAAAAAAGTGCACGAGTTCATTTCTATTTGATATTTTTAATATAGATGAATACAATTAAATTACATCATTTGTGTGGTAGTTACACCGAAAAGTCGAGAGATGTCGCCCCGCCAGTGCACTATGGGCAAAAATGGGTCCAAAATTACCCAAAATTCAATATCTCAACAGCACGCTGAATTCCGGCCATGAAAAACGACTTTTCCGAAAGGAAATTGTCCGCGGAATCGATTGCACGTGGTCCCATAGACAGGAGAGCCTTGTAGATATGTGTTTTGGACTATTTTACCCCATTTTCCCCTACTTTTTGGAGGAAATGTTTTTTCACAGCTCTATTTTTCGTAAAACATAAGCACTTTATGCATGCTTTTAGAATAAAATGTCATTAAACAACAGTTCATGAGATATTAGGGGAATATGGGGTACACTTTACAGGGGAGTAAGGGGTATAAGTGAAAATACAATCAATGTTTTTTAGTACAAAATCCATTTTTTGTAATATCATAATATTTTTTTCTAAAAAACACCTTCAATTAACTTTCATTTGATATTTTGAGATCCGTCATCGGCCAAACAGTTCAAAAGTTATAAATTTTTGAAAAAAATCGAAAAAACAAATTTTTTTTTGGCCGCCCTAATATATAAATAGTCACCCTAATGACAAAATAAAAAATACGAGTCTAATATGTTGCGATAAGGAACAAAACTACCATTCTGAGAACTACTATATCGTTTGGCTGTATACATACAAAAAAAGTGAAAACTCTTTTTAAACAGATAGCAGTAAATTAAAACTTATTTAACCCCAATTAACCTTAAAATTTCGAGAAAAAAAATCTTATTATTGCAGGCAACCTTTGGGGTCATTCAAACAATCGCATCGTTCAATATTTTTATGAATTAAAATAAATTAAGCGAGGGTTCACTTTCACCCCTTACTCCCCTATAAAAGGTACCCCGTATTCCCCTAATATTTCATGAACTGTTGTTTAAAGACATAGTATTCTAAAACCATGCATAAAGTGCTTATGTTTTACGAAAAATAGAGCTGTGAAAAAACATTTCCTCCAAAAAGTAGGGGGAAATGGGGTAAAATGTTCCAAAACACATACCTACAAGGCTCTCCGGTCTATGGGACCACGTGCAATCGATTCCGCGGACAATTTCCTTTCGTAAAAGTCGTTTTTCATGGCCGGAATTCAGCGTGCTGTTGAGATATTGAATTTTGGGTAATTTTGGACCCATTTTTGCCCATAGTGCAGTGCTGGTAAAATCATTTTTGCAGTATGGAGAATATCAGAAAATCCGCAATTTCTTACGAAATACATTTTCAATGCAAGTAAAGTGTTTACGAGTACTTGTATTTGTACCATTTTAATGTGCTCGGGCACTTTTCTTGTATTTAACATACATGCTTATATTGGAAATATTCAATTAATACTGTAAATCCCCATACAATCAAAAAAGTTATTTTGTTTTTATAAATTTTGATTTTTTTTTCTCAAGCATTTTATAAAAATCTGTATAAATCTGTATTGTAATTTAAAAATCTGTGATAAATCTGTATTCTGTATCGGGTCTGTATTAAGATTAAAAAATCTGTATAATACAGATAAATCTGTATAAATGGCAGCGCTGATCTGTTTACCTCTTGCTAGCACTCGTTCGATTTAAATGGTGCAGTATTGACGAGTGCACGGATGGATTTGAGTTCACTCACTCGACAAAAAGTGACACAACAGCGGGGCCCTGTTTACTAAAAATGAACATATATGTGTTCATTTTTAGTAAACAGGGCCCCGCTGTTGTGTCACTTTTTGTCGAGTGAACTAATTTTAGCAGCCCTCATCATAACGCAGCTACCGTATCGGAGGTTGCAATTGTAACCGTTCTTGAAATTTTTCTGAGGTTTTGATTTAACTCAGTGGCTTAAGCGCCACTCTCGATTAGGAGAGACCACTGGTCGTGTTAAAGCTTTGCCCGACAAATCAGTGCCAACATTTCAAAGGGGCGTAATTGCTTTTGTAAACAATGACTTTAGCCGTCAATTTCTGGCGAATGAAATCTTACCTCTCCAAAATTACAATGCTAGCTGGTAGAGGAAACATTCCTCTACCCGCTGGTGTCATTATTTTTCATGAGTGAGCTTTTATTCGCGAGAAATCGACGGTTAAAGCCATTGTTTACAAATGCAATTACGCCCCTTTGAAATGTTGGCACTGAAATGAGACTTTTCTCTCAGAGGACCTCTTGAACGGTTGTTGGTTACTAACGGCAATGAAAAAAACTATTAACTTTCTGGAAATGCCAAGTCCTTCAGTAATACAGGAATGGAGCGCATGAACCAAATAAATAAACCAAAGGTATTACTCTGACTCACCCCCGAAACGAAACGGAAAGAGAACGAAGGAATGCTGACTCAACTGAGCGGAAACGAAAGAAAACAGAACGTAACGTAGTAAGTGTGTTTTATTCAGGGAGTAGCATTCAAAACGTTCGAAAAACTAATCTTCAACTTTTTCTTTAAACTATATTCTAGCATTCATTCGCATTGGATTTCTGAGAGGGGTTTACGGGAAAAAGCAAATCATGGCCATGAATTAAACATGCTCTCACATACCTGCGCAGGTTTTACTTAACGCTGACTGCTGTCCGATGAGGGCTCGACTCGATGATGGCGGCGATAGACGACCTTCCAGGCGGTGTAGCGATGGCGGCGTAAACGTGATGGTGCCGCTCACGTGCTGCAGTATGGCGCGTAGCAACGGAAGGTGACTCGTACGCGGTATGGCCGAATTAGAGTTGCGGAGGGAGTGGCGGCTGGACGGAAGACTTCCGATTTGGCAATCGAGAGCTGAGCCACGACGAGAAGTCGTGCTGTCCCGGGAGATTCGCTCCGCAAAGAGAAGAGGCCAACTTAACTTTGGACGGCTTCGCGTACTTTGTTTCCGCTATGACCATCCGTGATGAAATGAACCCCCTCTCCCGTTGGATTGAATCCGGACCGCGGCACGCTTTTGGTGACGCACTCACACGGTCCGAGCTCTCGGAAATAATGGTCCACGGGGTTGTAGTGGAAGGGATCTCGTCGACGGATGATTGGCGACCGTCGGAAGATATTTCGCTTCGAAGATTAGCGAACTTCACCCACCTCCGTTTAGCTACCTTCGAAAATGCTGGCCTTAGCAGAGCGCACGAGTCACGGGAAATGTCCGTCTCCCACGAACGATGATGGCGATGCCACAGATGGAACCCCCGATTCGGCGTTGACGATAGCCGAACGGAACGTATATCCAGCCCGTACAAAAAAAGCGCAAAGCGCTGGAAATCCAACGCGAACTCACATTACTTATACAATTCTAAATTTTAACAAAATTCTATAAAATTATCTTTTTTGTACAATTTCATAAATAAACGCACTGAACAGACTACGCGGAACTTAATACGGACTTATGTCCACTGTACAAAAATAAAGAAAACGTTTAAAAAACCACTGGTTGATAAAAACTCACTCACTACTATTTAGTACCTTTAGAGAAACTTATCGCACAAAATCAATTTGATTTAATATAACTCGAAAACGTTAAGTAATTCGCGCACTTCTGTTATCCAGCCGATTCGAAAGCGAAATGGATGAGTCAGAATAATTTGGCAAGCAGGAAAATTCCTAACGACCTTTTCCTATTCAAATAGGTCATCTTTTAAAAACTCCCTCTTTATTCGAGAGTTGCGCCAAACCTTTCGAATGGTGACGGACTTCATGGCGCCTCCAGAAAGCATGTACAATATAATACAGCTCACTATAAGTTGAGCTTTTATGGCGAAGTTGTAGCCTAGACACAGTAAATATGGCAAAGTTGTAAAATCGACACAGTAATGGTCTGATTTTATTAACACGGTTGAAATATTTCATTTCTTAGCAAACTTGACATAAAAAAAAGATTTAACTGTTAATTAAATTAGATTTCAACGAAAAACTATTTAAAAAAACGTAAAACGTTACACCATACGAGTAACTAAAATAGCAGTCGGCTTCTCGATGAGAAGCACGTTACCAAATTTAGCAGCGCGGAAGAAATGGTAGCTATTCGTAGAAATGTCAAAATGCTCACTACCGGTACGGACTACGGTGAGTAAATTGATAACCGCGATAGCAGCGACCGGTGTGGAGAAGACAGACTAAACTAAAATGAGAGCGCTGTGCGCTGTTAAAATAGTCGCGCAAATGACAACGACCGTTACGGTTGCTCTAAACGTCAAAAAGCTCTAGCAACCGGTCGAAACTAGAAATACTCAGAGGGAGAGATGGACGAAGAGAGTGTTTTGAGCCAAATGAACTGCCAAAACTGATATTGTTTTCACATTTTTCATGATCACAGTTCGTAGTTTTATCACATAATATGAAAGTAGATGCCAGATGATAGTGGATATCGTTAACTCAAAATTTACGAAAATCCATATGGGACTGATATGCGATTATAGGCAGCTGTATATTGTATCATAAATCACGCCTCCATATAGAAATCACCTCGGAAATCACAGACGATATTTTTTTACCAAAAATTTTAGGTAATCGTAGCTTAGAGTGTTTGTCTACAATTGAAGAATCAAAGTGACGATTGGGTGAAAATGGTAATGACGTTTTGATATCTGTCAAATTGCATGACATTTTTTTAGGTACATCCTAGGGTACATCATCATTTTTGTAATTGCGGATCTTAAAACTAGGTGTCACATGACCAGTTTTGGCTTCGTTAATAAACAAATACCATAAACAAACTGTATCCCGGATGGGTAAACTATCCCACAAATGGATTGGATGATACCCCGAACACGTCGTTAAGCTCTCTTTTATGGTTATTTTTATTACACAGAAAAAAAGTTGTTGAATATTACATCCAAACTGCTGCAACCAGGTCAATCCATCGGTTGTGTAATATAACGTTGTACGATGTACATCGATTTTGCGAACAAAATTACATCCATTGATGTAATATTGTATCTGCTTTTTGCTATTACATCATTATTTCATACATCAGCTTGAATTACATTGATCGATATTACATTTTTTTGCTGTTTAGGGTTTGCTTTGATTCGCCAATTGGCGTCTTGCAGTGAAACTTTTCCAAGCTTTCGCCACCTACATTTCGAAGTGAGAACTGCTAGAAGGAGGATAGTTTCCAAATTTTCCAAGTAAAACAGACGATTTTTGGGGCAAATCGGTACATAAAGAAAAACTAATAATTTCCGGTGGAAACTTTTACTTGAATCGTGTAAGAAAACGTGTTTGCAAACTAACTGTTATTATTTCGGTATGGATCGGAGATGTTTTCATGGAAAATTATGCATAACAAGTTTGCACCCACAGGTAGAGGTTACTTCCTGCGCAGCTGCATTTTTCGGAAAATGGTGAATATTTGTGATTTCCACTACGATGAAAGTGGAAATTAAGTGAACTTACTTAGGAAAGATCATGCTGGTGATAATGGAGAAATGGTTGTATAGGACGGCAATATTCAATAAATGTTCATTTTAGCCTTTTTCAACGGAACTTGATTTACTCAACACGCACCATACTATAAAATGGTGCTCGGTGGTTTATAAAGTGATAACAAGATGACAAGTCATCTTTATTTTGAGTAATTGAGCAATTTACTTTTGTTTACATCATACTCGATCATATGTACGATACAGCATTGATGGAGCTGTGGAATGAAATGAATATATCTTATGAAAGTTCATCTGGAAAAGTCAAAGATGCACATCAGTCTGATCGTGAAAACATTTTCTTCTTCAATTCGAATGTTATATTGGAAGGATTTTACGCAGGCTTGATGAAAATAATGATTTAATGCTAATTATCACGAATTATATATGCAGTCTGTCAACATTATCATCATCATGCAGTGGCGACATCTGCGTCGAGCTTTTACGGCAATCTCCCAATTATGCCATGTCAGATTTACACCAGTGTGTACGCTATTTCAAAACTACCCAAATTTGCGGAAAATCCACCCAGATAGGTCAAAACTGAACCTATCCAAAAATGGGTAAACTATCTTGGAAGTGACAAGTTGACAAATAAACAACATTGACATGAATCCGATCGACGCTGTTCATTTGTCAGCTTGTCACTCCCAACCGAGCTCCCAACACAGTTTACACATTTTTGGGTAGGTTCAGTTATGATCGATCTGGGTGGATTGTACCCAAATTTGGGTAGTTTTGAAATAGCGTGTTATTCGTTACCAACAAGTTTGCCGTGACTACGCTCAGGGTGGCCAGATATTTTTTTTATTGGTAGCTTCTCAAAACTGTTATCAGTATAGATATCGGTAGGCCGTCTTAAGAAAGCGGGGTGGGGGGGGGGGGGGGGGCGGTACTCTGCTCCAGAACAATACACTGTCCTTCAGTTCTACTGCTTTAAACGTGTCGAAATGAATATTTATAATTCTAATGCTAATTCTGACTACACGTAAACAAAACATTGGTATTGAACATTTTTTTAAATTGCAAAACATCTGTAATTCTCGGTAGGAAAAATGAAAAATCGGTAGTTTTTAACCATTCGTCTGTGAATCGGTAGGCATCCCGAAAATCGGAAGGACTACCGATAAATCGGTAGGTCTGGCCACCCTGACTGCGCTACCGGCGAACATGTGACCAAAACGGAAAACAAATTTACGAGCAAATGTCAATCGAGTTCATAACAAAAATCGGCAATTCTTGCATGTGAACATATTATTTTCTCGCTCTTCGTCCCGGATTCGTATTTGAATAAATGGATTTCTATTGTCCTTTAGTATTTTAGTGCCATTTTGCGTAGTTATTCTTAGTGTTAGATGTAGGTATAATTCATGTGCCAACCATAATGGTGATTTCGGCGGACCACGAACGCAATGGGATTGCGGATTTTTTCACCCAAACCGATCCCGAGGTGCGGAAAGTCACACTGACTATAGGAAATATCATCTCTAAAAATACTATCAAGGAGATTACGCTCGAGAGTGAGTAGCCACTAGTTTGTTTGTGAAGCATGGAACAAAGTTGTTTAGCATTCATTCTTAGAAATGGTTTGGGAGGAAGTTGCTATACCTTATCATTGACCTCTTATCTACTATTACCGATTTTTATTCGTACTCTCTTTTCGTCTATCAGCTATAATGAAACAGACAATCGCACTGTATACCTAGTCATTTAATTGATTAGATGTTTATGCGAAGCGTCGTACACGAATGAGTGCTAAATTTATCCTCAGCGAAAATTTATTGTTTATTCTCAATTGGTTGTCATCCGTCCGTCCTTTGTAATGGCGACAATTATGATTTATTACGAAAGATAGACGCATTTTAGGAATAAGGTTTCATAGTTTTATTATACCGCAGAACGTTACAAAAAAAAAATGCTCAACTTCGGACGAACAGGTTTTTTTTTTTCATTCTCTGGTGAATATAACAGTGACGTCACTTTTGTGCTATGCATGATAAACCGGTCCAACTAAAAGAGCAGAACCAGACGTCAAGTTATCTAATGCTGCTTAAACATAATTCGGATCTGCGTGACTATATCCAATTTTTAATGTATGGGCTCATCGCGTTGTATGCATTTGAATTTTTAATCTAATAGATTTACTTTATAGGAATTTATCTGGATACAAATCAATTGTGGCTCTAATTTTTTTTTAATGCGAAGGTTTTTACATAAAATGTGGATAATTGTGTTTTAGCAAGCCATTATTTGCAGTCGATCAATTTATGATTAATTTATTGTTTACGGAACTAATGAGTGCCAACTGGCGGCTTTTCGAGGATTAGGTGCCAGTACGGTCCGCTATGCAAGCATGCTTGAATCAAAAGGTCTGTTCCCGTACTTGCTTTTCTGTTAGATTCTGTACAGTAAGAAGCAAAAGTATTTTCCCGTACGTTCTGCACCATATTATTTTCTTACAGCAACAAACAGAAAGCTGCAGCAATACACCAAAAGCAAAAAAGCAAGTGCGGGAACAGATCTAATGTGATGCAAACAGATGAGGAAATGTCCATTTGTCGTCCCTTTCGTTTTCCCGCTGTTTAAGGTAATTCCTTGAAGAATCCAAAAATATCACTTCAAGTTTTCTAGAGCACAAATCTTGGACACTGTATTGATATCGCTTATGAAATTGAAAATCCCTACTTGCTGCACTGCAGTACACATGGAGTTCCAGTTTCATTGTTGTATGTTTTGTGAGAGCTGATATTTGTGCTCTTGAAATTTCAAGGCGATAATAGAAATTATGTTTCCACGGCGATTCGTCTTAAATGGACAAAACAGGCGTTGAGTTCGAGCTGGGAAATCTCTCGGAAGATAAATTTAAGGCTCTGATATGCGTCTGCGGTTTGAAGTCGGAGTCAGATGCAGAGATCCGAACCCGATTGTTGGCGCGCATCGAGGAGAAGACGGATGTCACTCTTGAGCAGTTGTCCACCGAATGCCAACGCCTTTTGAATCTTCGGCATGACACTGCGATGATCAAGCGACCCAATAGTGCAGTGAACGCTATCAAGCAGCGGTTCCGGAAGTAGCAACGAACGCGGCAGGAGCATTTCAGTGCTTCATCGTCGTTGCGTAGTGTAGTTCCTATTGGAAGTGTGGATCGATGCACTATAAAAGGGACTGTGAGTACAAAGACCATAAGTGCGCGAAATGTAACCAATATGGACATAAAGAAGGTTACTGTGAAAGTGATCGAAAGTCCTCTCGGAAGCGGGTGAAGAGACGAAAGAGAACAGTGCCTACGAAGGCTGTCCAGGTTGCTGTGAAGAATATGCGAGGGAGAAGAAAGTTTATTCCGGTGTTTCGGTTCGACTCTGCTTCGGACATCACCATCGTATCATCTGAGACCTGGAAGCAGCTAGGAAAACCACCAACCAGATCACCGTCAGTGAACGCGAAAACCGCATCGGGCGATCCTCTGATGCTACTATCGGAGTTCGATTGCTCGATCACCGTCAACGACGTAACGTAAGTGGGAACGATCTACGTCGTCGCACAAGATCTACACATCCTGGGTTTGGATTTGGTGGAAGCATTCCAGCTCGAGTCCGTTCCGATGAACGTCTTCTGTCTACAGGTCAGCAATTCCTCTTCATCCATCGTAGAGCGGCTCAAGGCTGCCTACCCCAAGTGTTTAGCACCAACCTCGGACGGTGAAACGGCGCCGGTGGTGTAGTGGTAAGCGTGATTACCTCTCACCCCAGCAGGCCTGGGTACAATCCCAGTCGGCGCCGCCGGGATTTTCTAAGGCATAACATCTCTGATCACGCCTTCCTTCGGATGGGAAGTAAAGCCGTTGGTCCCCGGTTCATGAGTTGATGGGTCGATAGGTAGGGTCCAGGTGTGGGAGCTGCCTTCCTGGCACGTCGGTAGCATTGGTGCTCAGCACGGAAAACAAGATCGACGGAAAAAACAAACCAAAGGAAAAAAAAAAACCTCGGACGGTGTACCAAAGTAACAGTGAAGCTCGACCTCAAGCCGGGACAAAGGTCAGTGTTTCGTCCAAAACGTCTCGTGGCCTACGCCATGTACCAGGCTGTCGATGATGAGCTTGACCGTCTCGAGCGCTTGCGGATCATCACGCCAATCGACTATTCGGAGTTTGCTGCTCCGATTGTGGTGGTTCGGAAGGTGAACGGTCTTGAACGACGCTCTCCAGCCGCACCAATACCCGTTGCCGTTGCCGCAAGACATCTTCATCAACCTCGCCAACTGCAAGGTATTCAGCATCATCGACATGTCAGAATCGTACCTGCAGCTTGAAGTCGACGAATCATCAAGTAATCTCGTCAACACCCACCGGGGCATCTACAAAGTCAACCGACTGGCACCCTTCGGCAACTATAAACATCCTCCGCAGTATCTCCGCACGCCTGGGGATGCCGGAAACGTTGGTGTCAGACAACGGCACCCAATTCACAAGCTTGGAATTCGCTCAGTTCTGCAAGACGAATGGAATCGACCACGTAACAACTGCACCGCTTCAACCACAATCAAACGGCCAAGCAGAGCGATTTGTCGACACGTTCAAGCGACCGATCAAGAAGCTTGAAGAGGGGAGAAGTTCGACAGACAAAGCCTTGGATACGTTCTTGCTGGCCTACCGAAGCACACCTAACCGGTCAGCGCCAGAAGGTCTATTACCGTCGGAGATCATGTTCGGACGACGTTTACGCACCTGTTTCGAACTGCTACGTCCATCGCCAGAACGTCCACTGCCGGAACCGTCACCGGTCGACCAGAAGAAGTCCAGAATGAGGCTAGGGACACGCAATAACCTTTAACTTCAACGCAAGCAACGACTGTAATTAAATTTACTCCATTAACTACTGCTTTAATTACATTAATTACACAATATAGAACATTAAATACTTTTTAACTCCTTTAATTACAGTTGAAATTTCGTAATTAAAGTACATTAATTACATTTTCAATACTTTTAACTACATTAATTACGGATAGATAATTTTAATTACCGTCAGTACTACTTCAAAACGCATTAATTACTTTAAGTCCTTTGATTGCATTTTAACTTCAACGCACCGGTTCTTTGTATTGCGTGCCCCTCGGAATGAGGTCCTTTAGCCCAAGCGATCTCGTCTACGCCAAGTGATATACAACGTCTTGACCGATAGTCGTTTAGTTCGATAGTACCTGAACCAGTTGAGAAGTTGAATGTCAACTAGCTCGGAGCAAGTTTCTGGATCCAGCCAGTGATCTAAGCAGAAGCAACTCCCACTGCAAGCTCAACTCGATACGTGGGATCCGCCAACTACGACTGAAAGCGATATTATTCGAACGTCAACGTTGTCACCTCCTACCTGTCCGACTACCAGCTCGGATATGTCGTCATCGTCCTCTACGTCGAGCACCACATCTTCCAGTTTCGAATCGGCTGCTGCAAGCACACCAACGGTGCAGCCTGAGGTACAGCTACCAAGGCGTTCTTCGAGATCTAGAAGACCGCCCCAGCGGTTCAACCTGTATTACCGGTTCTAGAGGGGAGATTTTGGGGCAACGAAAACAGAAGCGCTGGGAACACTGCTTGCGATCCATAACGTTCGTTCCATCAGGTTCCATTGCTTTCCTGCTGGGCTCATCCAATGAGTACAGAGAGAGGTGAAGCAGATAGTGAAATATGGTTCTATTAGTAATCCAAAAAATCAACGTAAACGCAATCAGCGACGTCACTAATTGCATGTATCGTACAGGGGTTTTACTCACACAACTTAACCGACTGCTTCACCTCGGTAATCCAGCTCATTGGGCTCATCGTTGAGCTGAGCTGTCATACGAAAGACGTCATCGCCACTGGATACTGTCCTAAACTTACACACTTAAATTTTTTCGCCGAGATTCCAAAAGCCGAGCAGTTCTGCAATGCTGAGATTCAGTGAAACATTTACTGAGACTCAACTAACAAAGGACATTTTGAGAAGAATTTCAAGAGAATTCTGAGTAAAATTCTCATTCTGTGGTTAAATCCAATTAAATTTTAGAAGAATACTTTTCATAATTCTAAATGGCGTACCAAGAGCTTTCCGAAGAACATTTCAAACGAATTATAAAGAAAATTATGGAGAGAAATTAAAGAAAATTCTTGTCAGACTAAGAATGCGACTGTAATGGAGCAAATTTCTAGGAAATAACGGATAGAATCTGATGTGTTCTAATTTAGAGTGCAAACGATAAATGTCGTTAAACGAAAACACCATACGATGTTACGTATGACAGTTGGATCAGGTCGACAAGGTCTGATCGTATGAAAAATAAAGAGGAAGATCATTCCAGTCTGAAACATCAAACGAAGTAGAGTTTTTTTTATTTTGCTCCGCAAAGTCCCGGTTTTCTCCAATATAAGTATAAGATACTAAAGTTGACGACGAGTGATAAAGTGAAGTTAGTGGTGAATACGGCCGTTTTCTCGTTTTCCACTTTATGCGGTGGAATAAAGCTTCGTCGGTGATAAAGCTAC